TTTCAAATAAAAATCACCTGCACACCTTTATTTACTATAAATAATTGTTAAACAAATTACATTTTTTTAAACGTATTAATACGAAATATTAAAAAGTAGTTTCTGAGTTATTAAAAAGTATAATGGAATAATAGGTTGTATGTCATATAAAATATGTGTAATCTGTAATATTTAGTTTAGTACTTTTTATATTATACTCGATAATTTAAAAAAATATATAAAATGTTAATAGTTGTATTTGCATTAAAGAATTTCCTATTGTTATGACGTTATTTCTATATTGAAATATTGTACATTTTTCTTGTTACAATACATATTATTATTATATTAATTTTCAAAACATCACAGTCCCCAAACTCCGTAATTTCTTAACCCATAGTATCGTGGTCCGTAGAAATAATCCTTAGAATATCAGATTATCTATACAGGACTAATATATTATAAATGTTACCCAAAATCTTCTCGTTCGAATTTCAATTTAGATGCGTCTACATTTGTAGAAAAAATCATCTATTCAATAATTTACAGTAAAAAAAGACGATAAGGGGTATCAGGTATCAATCGAAACACAGTATTTTGAATATACCACTCTACGGGGCACGCCATGAGTGGCGCAAAACATCTGACTCTCGTGCAGTTTAAAAATATGCAGATGTGGGTATTCAAAAATTCTAAAAATCAGAATTTGAATAAATGCGCTCACCATTGATGGAAAACATGGATAGATCGCTCTCTCAATATAAATTTGTGAAATCCAAGTTAAAATCGGCTGTGCGTGGTCGTGTGAAACGGAAACAAGCAGGAGGTAAAATACATTAATATACATAAATATTATTATTCTTTGTTCGTGGCTTTGCGCCCCGCACAAGCGACGCATATTATTATTCGAGCAGTACCTATACGACTAAATAGTACGCTATAGCGGCCGCTCATTTAGAGACGGCGCTGCAGCATCGTTCGAATGTTAAAAATCGACGTACAGAGTTCCAGACTTCAGACGCGTTTCAGTAGTTCAGTACCGACTACGCAGTACGCAGTGACGTATCGTGTCGTGTCGTCTCCTGGCATTATATGCCGTCCAGCAATTTTCATTGCGTATTACGGCGAAAGGACGAGATACGTCATTTGAAATGTTTGCTTTTTTACGCCAAGACTCTCACATCACAAAATAACCAAAATACACCGTATAATTATTGCATACAGCATACTGCAGTATTAGTCCTAATAGTGTAATGGCATCGTGCGAACGATTATTTTCATCTGTCTCGAACAAGGTGCTAATCCAATTCTCGGTACTCGTGGTATCGCGGTTAGGAAGAGTGGTGGGTCTTCTGTTTATCGATATAAACTTGTATTGCATTTGATTCCTATCGGACCAATATGTTTACCGACAGGTTCAAAGTACATAATATTATGATGGTCTAGCTCTAGATGAATAAATGTATAGTTAGGGCTTCGGAATTTTCTTTTTATGACGTTATCGCAGAAAAGCATTAAAAAAATAATAATAAACAATACGTACATGTATAAAATATATTTACACATTTATAAATAACTTTAATCAAAATAATGTTTTTAGTTTTAACTTTATACGCCTATAAAATTATATATACATATATGTTATATTTCTAATAAAAATTTAAATAAAATATTTTTTTTTTAAGATTGCGGGTATGATTAATTCTTAAAAGTTGGCCAACTTCTGTTAAAATTGTCAATATTCTCCAAAATATTTTATAATTGCTTTTTTTTCTTCAACTAATTCTATTGTTTATGTTCAATTTCATTGGTGTTTACAATTATGTTTTTATATTTTTAACGTTAAACTTAAAATAAAAAATGGAAATAACGTTTGAAAGTACAGTTATGTCAAACATTAAGTATTAACGTGTTATGATAATAATAATAATGTCTTTATTTTTTGCATCAAAATATTATAACCACAAATATACAAGAAGATTTATTGCAAAACTCAACTAAAATACAAAGCTTGTGTGCAACTGAGAATAGAGTTTTAGAATCCAAGTATATAATAAGTAATAGCCAATAACCAATATTAAACATAATAATTATGATTTTATAACGTTTTAATGTCCAAAAACGTAAAAGCTATGTACATATGTTTTTATAACTTTAGCCCTGATAAACCTCGTAATAATAATATGGGAATATTGTTGTAAACTTATTTATTTTTGAAATTGTACGACGTTTCTAAAAGTCATTATTAAATAATCTGTATGTACTATAACAACATTATACTTTGTTAAAAGTACGTTTTTGGTTATATCGTATGCGATAACAACATAAAACCAGAACTCGGGAGACAGGACTTGTATAAATAGTCGTATAATATTATAAATGTGGTGTCCATTAGATGGTGGGATGCACAGATAAAGAAGTATGCACAACTGCAGCGACTACGGACGCTAGTGCGTTACGATATTGTGGTACTGATTGCCGTCGGCGGGGATATAAAAATCATATGATATCCCCACCATTTTCGTAACATAAATTTCTGATCACTCTGTATTTACCACAAAAACATAATATACAACAACTGTAATGGCTTGTGGATAATTTTTTTTCGTAGACGAATAATATCAATATTAATTGATTCGATAAATCAAGGCAATTAACTAATGCATAGAAAAATATCACATGTAAACTTGCTCTGCATAATAGAGTGTTGACGAATATTGAGTTTTTTTTAATCGATTTTAGTTTAATTTTAAAAGTTAAAGCTTTCCATACGCATGGCTGGTTATTAAAATAAGCGCCTATTCAATTAACAGTTTTTAGTCGTTAAATCTTTAGTAAATATTACAATACATAAACGATTTTGACCGTTAAGTCATTCTGCAATTATTGTAATAAACTATAATAACTAATAATACATAAGCGTCAATACACGATAGGCGTTGTATCGTACATTCGTACTATTGTCTAGTCGCGCAATGTAAATTAAATAATTAAATGCATTATACATAACAAATATTAGGTACATGCATTTAAATAAGTTACAAATCCTTGTATAGGTGCAATTACAATAAAACAAGTAAAACAATTAGCTTACTTAATAACGAGTATTAGGAATTTTACATTTTTTTTACGGTACATTATTGTAATTCGAACGGCCGTGTATTATTATTTAAAAAATACACTTCCATATTTTTCTCAAAGTATTCAATCAAACTTAAAATATGGGTTAACGATTTTTATAATTAAGTATTAAATGTGTTATAATACAACCGAATTGGAAAAGCTAGGGAGGACTGAACATTAAGACTTTTGAATAAGCCTGCACTCATTCCCAAAATTCACACTGTATGTATTTACTATAAGTAATGGAACCTATAATGTATTTGTATTTTTTTGCCATAAAATATATAAATCAATAATCAAACTTTAAACCTATATACATGCGAATGCGAAGAAATATATTTTTTTAGTACAAGTTAAACCTATATTTTATTCATGTTGATAATAAAACTTCAAATATATAGCTGGGCGTATCGGCCCCACCAAATAATTATATCAGGTTTTGATTATGTAGTAACACAGCATTTTAAGATAATACAATTTATTTAGTGTTATAATTTATAGATCACTTCGTAAATCCGGTTTGATTTATAGGCAATATTATGCCTACTTTTAACTATTTAAATATCTATATCTATATTTTTTTAATATAATAATTTATAGTAAATATACCTAAAAATATCGAATATAAATTTAAATAATTTAATAATATAAAATCGATCTGGATTTCGAATAATCGAATTCTGGTTTATTAGCTATATCTAATTTATACATATTATTCAAAATTCCAGTTGTGTTGGATTGCAGGATCGGGATAGGAGTTAAAGGCATGCATAGAAATTTACTATACAAAAGTTTCAAGGATTTTTCACGGTCCAGAGTTAAACTGTATATAATTCCGTGCACTCTCTTATTCCCATAGCTCCTTTATTAACGCGAATGCATGTATATATATAAGGTATTAAAATTAAACTACTGCATAATTTAAGTTTTCTACAAAATTCTTACAATGTACTATTTCAGTTTACGCTTATTCAGTATATTGTTATATGTATATAATTAAATTATATACGTGGCCAAATGGTCGACCCCTTTTTGTTAGAATTTATTCTCATATACAGTCAAATTCGCTTATAACGATCTTCAAGGGACTTAGATAATATGATCGTTATAACCGAATTGTCCGAACTTCGTTATAACCGTATTATAAAAAGTAACTACACATTAAATATAAAACCAACCAAATACATTGCTTGAAATTGTTTTACCCGGAATATTGTTAAGTATATACGGCATAGTAATAAGTGAATTCTACTGTACATTGATTAGTAACTCTTTTTCTCATCATAACAAATCTGTGCTGTGATCGCTGTTGACGATTTCGTCGTTTATATATTTTTACGATTCCCCTCAAAGGCAAAATATACTCTCGGTAGATGCTTATCGAAAAATAATTTAGGGCTATTCCTGCTACATAATTTACATAGTGAACTACAAAGAACGACGTATAATAATGTACACTATAGAAATACTCGGACGACTATACCAAATTACGAAATCGACACAACTGCAGAACGTATGGGGGTGGCAGACGGCAGTATATAATTTAATATATCTATTTTTTTTATATAATATAACGTCTCGAGTATCGTACCCGTATAACGTACGGCATAGGCTTTATTCACATAATATTATAAGTCGCCATTTGCACATTATTTTTTTTGCTTTCTCCTATGCACTGCGGCAGTGCGGCCCGCTATATTTTAAAGTACTTAAAAGTGGCCCGCTAGTTACTTTGAGTTGCCCATCTTTGATATATAGGTACCCCAGGTACGTACGCGCCGCAACCCAAGGACTGGTATTAACCAAAGACTACATTATTTTTGTGTGTCGGTATAATAATATTTTATGTACTCGAACGCGATTGTTCGAGCACGGATCCCTCGTCCATCGTCGCTCACCTTTGAAAGTCGTGGAGTAAGTCCAATCGTCCTCGGACACCCATCGGTATGCCACGTCGTTGTACCGGCGCAACGGGTCTTCGTCCAGAACGCCGTCGGACCTCAAGTCGGCGAACACGCCGCCCGGCACGCGGCCCGTCCCAGAGACGCCTGAAAACATGGCGTCATAATACATTTATATACATAATACATATACCTATATATGCGTACAACGATATCATAATAACATTTTTTATCGTTTGGATTGCTCGCTCGTACGCGCGTGTATAATATTATTAATATTGTTACGTGTGTGTGGAGGGTGCGGCGGTATGCGATCCTTACAGTTATATTGGTCCCCCGGGGTAGAACTGAGAAAATAATATGTTGTTTTCGACGTCCGGAAATATTTTAACGTGGTTGTGGTCTGAACCATCACACGTCGTCACATCACGAGTGCAAACGCGGACCGATCGTCGCCGTCGAATCGCTGCACGCGGTCGTGACTCGAGAACCCGTTTGTTCGAATTTGAGGAGAAAATATTTTTATTTTTTTTTTTATTCTGGAAAAACAACGTCGGGAGCAGAAAAAATCATCGCCCGACCGTCGAAGAAACGGTATCCCTGGGGAGGGGGGAGGGGGACGAAAAACGCGATGCTCCGGACACGCGAGTCGGCCGTGACGTGCCTCTAACCCAAGTCGCGCGGTACTTAAGTCCGGCCTCGTCGCCAACCGTTTCACTCACTGGTATTCCTGTTAACGAACCGCCAGCGGGTCGAGTCCAGCGACCACTGGAATACCGCGCCGGAAGAGGCCGACAGGCTCAGGAGGAACAGCAGCACGATTGCCGCGGACTTTATGACGTCGGACCTCATGATTCTCGCGAGCGCGTCCGTATCCGGTTCGCCGGCAAAAGTCGTACTGAGTACCGACTGGTCTACTGATACAGTGATACGGCGCCTGAGTCCGAGCGTCACGGGAACGCTCTCCGATAGCGTCCGTCCACGAGTCGGTGCCGTCTCCCGTATTTAGGTCTGTGCAGCCGTCACGGCGTAATCTCGTTATGTTCGTTACATAATATTATTGTAAAATATTAATAATAATAATAATAATAATACATCGTAGCGCGTACGCTACGGAGTAGCGAGCACGACGACTCGGCGCGGTATATACCTCGCGTACCTAGTCGTTTGTTATTATTTACGCGCGGCAGCAGCTGATGACCGTGTATTGTTGTGCGTTCGACGACGTACGGTTTTACGCGGAAGTATAACCTCCCCGTCGTCGGACCCAAAACACTGGGCTCGTGTAATAATATCACGAGAGTCTACGGAAACCAAAAAGTATCCGACGGCTGTGCGATGCGGTTCGTATGACGTAAGGATTGAAATAAATTATACCTAATTGTTTTATCGTTTCGTACGACCGTGTCAATAATATTATCAGTATTGTTCCGTCCGGCGTGATTTTATGATTTATCACGGTTTAAAAAATAAAAAATAATATACAAATATTATTATTGTCATCGGTTATTTTGTTATTATTGTATTATATTATTATTATTATGCGAATGTTGCGTTGTTATTATTGTATACTATTATTATTATACGGTATACATCGGTTCGTACGGCGTTTGCGTACGTGCCGTAGTACCACGCATGCTCCTATCGGTCGGAACGCGACCCCTCCACCCTCCGGGAACAGCCGTGCCGCGGCCGCCGACGAGCGAACGCGAGCCGTCCAGCGCCACCGACTCGACTCGCGCTGCCAGTCGAAGTTTGACTGCTTTGGCTTGTGGACGTGCGTTGACCGTACCTACTGCGCCACCTCCCAATCGATAACGACATCGTTTTCGTGCCGATTCGAACGTAAACCGTTCGCGACACGATCGTTAATCCGTTTCCAGCCGATTCCTACGATTCACGGCCGACCCGAGTGATCGGGAAAGACCCGTCGACCGGGACAACGAGACAACTACCACAACAACAAATAACAATGGAAGAAGACCAAAATGGCGGCGTCGTCGTCGTCGGGCGGCCGCCGAACAGCGATACCTGCGGAACGATCGTCAACCACGGCGGCGGGGACGATCGGACGTCGGTGGCGGCGGCGGCTGCGGCACCGCCTACTCCAGCGCTCCCGGCGGCGGCGGCCACAGCTTTCGGAGCCCCGGCGCGTCCAGCGCCACGGTACGGCGCCCATCACAACTGCAACAATAACAATTCGGTCATCAAAGGGCAGCCGTTAAAGGTACGCCGCTCGTTTTTAAAATGTTTATTAACCACAAGTCACGATCGACATTTCCCCGCGATTTATCCCACGTCAGGCTTCCCGATTTTCGTAACCCTACCCGTGGTAAGCCTCGCCGACAACAGAAAGTAAAAGTTTCTTTAAAGGAAATCTGTGGACGTGTTTACTCGTACGTCCTATGGTTTTAATATTTAAAATAATATGGTTTATTTATGGTGTACGCAATGTATATCTGATCGTTTTTCACGAGTAAATCTCGTTGACCGTCCAAGTGTTAACGAACACACAGTGTTCGCTTCCAACAGTCGCACAATAAAGCTACAGCGTTGAATGCGATTGCTGGAATAATGCACTATGCAGTGTGCCAAGGACGACCGCTATACCCATTATTAGAACGTGTTTTTTCACTTTGATTTTTGTTGTTGGTTTATGAATTTATGATTAATTATGGCTTAATAATATTGCGTAGCGTGCCTTAATCGTTGATAACTTTACTGGGATAACTTGTTCTGTAACTGTATGCGCCCGGTGGATAATTCAAGAATTTTTCAATTAAAAAATAAATTACCTATTTATTGATAGCCATAGATGAAAATAATTGTGTTCTAGTTAATTTAATTGGAGGGGATGAGGAGTTATAAAAATAACACCCAAGATTTCATAATGTTTGTTTTCCAACCTAGCGTTTTAATTTAATAATTGGCACTAATCAAATATTGCTTACCTAAACATAAGATTCTCATAGTTTATTGTATTGTTTATTTCCATTTAAATTACTTTAAAAATACAATACAAAAACTTAAGTTTATATAACTATAAAACAAATGTAGAATTATAACTTTTTATTTAATTTACTATCCTGAAAATTAGAAAGTGCTTAAATACTTATATTCCGTTCAAAATCTGTTACATTGATGTGTATCATATATATTTGATTATATTTGCCTTGAATATCCAAATTTGAAGTTCAACTAATTCCTTTTCAATCAATAGTTAGTGTTGTTTTTTTTCATCATTGTAAAATTAATAAAATATTTTATAGGGTCCTGGTAATCTAGATCACAGAAATAGACGTACGCGTCGTGGTAAACGTAAAAGCAGAAAGCAAACACCATACATGAAGGATGGGATGTTGTTTCGAGACAAAGCTGTAGCTCCAAATAACACTAATCAGTTTTTAATGGATGATCACAATGATGGACCAGACATAGATAAAAAATTATTTGCACGATACAACAATGAAAATGTACGTACAAGAAATTCAAGTCATACTAGTCTCGAGTCCGAGGCTGAACTGATCTATTCTTCATCGGATGATGATGGCACTTCAATACAAAAAGAATTTATTGAAAGCTATAGACTTGTTCAAGAAGAAGAATTGGCATTGTTGACACAAAACGAACTTGTTCAACGAGTGATTGAGCTTGAAGAAAAAGTGCAATTACTTGAGGCTAAAAGGTAAAAAATAAAAAAATTACATGCAATAATTAGAATAGTTTATTTAATATTATTATTTGACCATAACATTATTGTAGTTTCCTATGACATTTTTATAGAATTATTTTGTTCTTAATTGTGATACAAAAAATTCTAAATTACCTATATGTAGGAAAATATAAATCACTAAGTTATTATTTTTATTTAATATAGGTATAAAAAAAATACAGATACATGTGTAAATGGCATACCTAAAGAAGACGATGAAGAAAACTCTATTGATCTAGAAGAATATAAATTAATGCAAATACAGAATAGAGAATTAACATCACAAAACAAAGTACTGCAAGCTGAAGTTGAAACCCTTAAACAAAATCAAATCAAGATCGAATCAATAGATTCAGAAAGCTCTGTAGATAGTGGAAGTTCTTCAGACTCTAGTAGTTCTTCTAGTTCATCTGATGGACAAGAAATAGAAATGAAGTTTTTAGTACGGAGTAGTGGAAAAGATGATTGATCAGTCAAGTACCAAAATGTAAATGCTTTTTCCTTGTAAATATTTAAGTATAAATATATATATATATATTTATTTTTTTTTTAAGACCAGCTTCTGATAACTGATACTTTTTATGTTAATAATATTAAGTTTTACCCATTCTTCATCGAATGACCATTTGGTTATTTTTTGAAACTCATTGTATTTTAATTTACCGGTATGTTACATAATATTTATTTTTTATTTTGTGTAATTCCGGTAATGATCTCGAGTATTATAAATAATTTATACTGAATGCTTTGGTTTTACCATTATAAATCATCAGAACCATAAACTCCTTTTAAATTATTATATATGTATAATTTTTTTTTAAATATATAATTCCAAAAAAATCCTTCAACAATACATCGACTCTTACCTATTTAAAACTTTATGAAATGTTATATTTCACAAAACATTCATTGTTTTGTACATGTGTGACAATGTTGCAGTAAAAGTTGTACTTTTATTTTATTAAATTTTTTTAATGTAAAATTAAAATAAAAAAATTTAAGAACTGTTAACATATGAGTAGTTAAAATTTCACTGGGTTTTATTTTGTTTATTAATTTACAGATTAGTATTAAAACTATAGCATAATACCAACTCAATTTTGGATACTACTTGTAACCAAATATCATCTTGGTTTTATAATAAGCCTATTTGTAAATTAAATAAATACATTAAATATATATTTAAAACATCACTTCGAATAAAACAAATAAAAAAAATCATTAAATTGGTACAGAAAATAAAAAAAATAAGTAACTGTTAGGACATAAAATTAGGAGCTGCAACTTTAACAATCACTTATAAAATTGGCAAAAAATTTTTAAATACATATTAATGTTCTGGAGAGTTGGCCATTAAATACCAATATTTGCATAACTTATCATCTTTAATCTGCTGTTCTTTAATGGTATCTTCTTTATCTACCATTAAAACAAAACAAGCTTCTAAATAATGCCTTGTTTTGAAATAGCTTCTAGTTAGTAGTTCTAACAATTCTGCCATCTCCAAAGTAGTATCTATAAACAAAAAAGTAAATAATATACTGATAAAAATTGTAATTACTAATGCTTCATACATTGTACAAAGCGCTTTTACAATGATAATTTAAATGTTTATAAGTCCTATAAATATTACTAAAAGAAATGTTAATAGATTGTACAGGTATAAAATTTAGGCATGAAATTGAATACATTATCACGCCTGTAAAAATCTAATAAAGTAAGTAAGATAATCTTAACAGAAAAAAATACTGACATCTTTGAATAATTTGATTTCAAATAATGGATGTTTACTATGTAATAAAAAGAATAAATTATATTATGAGTATGCACATAATATAAAACATTTACGAAAAGATATAATACCAACATAATCTTAGTAACACATTATTATACTTGAATTTTCAAATTAGTTTATAAATTATATTGTACTTGGTATAATAAAACTAAACACTACGTAAAAATTTATCTATCTTCAAAAAACAATAAAATATTAATCTTGATGAAGATTGATTTGTACATTTTAAATTTGATAAATATATATATTAATATATATATATATGTGTGTGTGTGTTACTAATAAAAATGTACATGCAATTTGTGTGATTTGTTATATTATGTTTCAGAATGTTTAATGTAAACTGAAGTTTGGCAATGATCACTTTAACATGGAATTTAGTGATAACTTATGCCTAACAAATAACCATCAGGTAATTCATTTGTGAAATACCTAAGTAATACTGTAGTAATATTATGTGATAAATATATAGCACTACATTATATACTTTAATATTAGTTTAAATAATAAGCTATTAATTTGTGTATTGAAATAAAACCCATTCAATCATAAAAAAGATAGAAATATTAAATTTTCTTATATATCTAAACGTTGATTAAAATATTAAGACTGTTATTGGTATAAGTAAGCATTTAATACTCAGTGCAGTTATTTTCTAACTGCGATTGCTTAAATTTGTTAAATATTAATGTCTAAAAGATATTTTGGAAAAATATTTGGTAATAAAGACATTTTAATAGTTGTTTTACTAAATAATAACTATTGAATTAACTAAAAAAGCAGTTAAATTGTATTAGTGAATTTGAAAAAAAATTGTGATATTTCAATATTTCCATTATGATATCGTAACATTCTGAACATAAACCCAGTCAATAAAAAAATTAATTTTTTTTTAGATTAACACCTGCCGAAAAATGACAGCAACTGGTGTAGTATTGACGTCAGAAACAAAATGTTTGCAAAATAAACATAAAGGTAAAGAGACAAATTGCTCTATTAATAGTGGATAGAAAATTATTCTGCTGAAATACAGTTAAAGAATACTTCTCAGTTAGTTTTGAATTTTAATAATTTTAAAATTATATTATTAGTTGAAAATGTGATGACTTTATAAAAATTAATACAAATTAACCAATTATAATTTATTTATTTAATCTTATTGTAGTTAAAACGTTTTTAAAAGCAATATATACCTTAACACATTAACCGCTGACAGTCATCTGCAATCCTTAAATTTTATAAATTTATGACCGCTGGCAACCATAAATGAATTTAGTTATATTATATTATTAATTTTTCTATGGCGCTACAATAATGTACCAAAATAAGGACCATGGCATAGCAGGAATTATTACAATTTTTTTGATATAGTTACCTATAATATACTATTTTTTTTTAAATATTTAGTGTATACAAATTTGAAAAACATTGAAAAATATGTTTGGCGTATAACAAATACTTATTGAATGACCACTAATGATCATATGGCAGTTAATGTGTTAAAATTCATAGTAATTAACGTAAGAAACCAACAAGATAAAACAGATTCATAGACTTACAATATTTCAACATTCATTATTGGTTAATTTTCTCTAATAAAAAAAAATATTAATGAGCTTACAATAAAAAAATGAATTGACACTTTTTTTTATTTCAAATTTACATAGACCCTAAACTTATGACATGCTCTTTAATTCTACATACAATAATAAGATTTTAAGTTTAATAAGAGACCTATTGTTTAACTGATCAAATTATGTAATTTATCACAGGTCAATGGTGTCAACTAATGTGTCATAGAGGCAAAAAAATGTGTTACTGACTGAAATTTATCTTAAGATCAGAAAGTGGTGTCAAATATCTCCAGGATTCACCACTAATTATCTACATATAAATACATTCTATTTATGGATGATAATTATTTTAAAATCATACACCTGGATTAAAGACGTGAAGTTTTAAATTACAAAAACTATAATTTAAGAAAAAAGATGTAATATGAGTGAAAAAAATCTAAATTAAAAAAGTTGATGATTGTTTAAATTTTATTTTTGTTATTTATATTTAGTCAACCAAAATAAAATAAAACAATTTATTTTATGAAAAACAAAATCATTTTTTTTTTTTGTAAAAAAAGGGTTTCTAGTATATATATAAAAAAAAATGTAATAAAAAGACTCTTTACCGGCATTATAAATTCATGTAATATATAAAATGTTTACTTTATTATTATATGAAATATACTTAATGTGATTTGAAAAACCAAAATATAATAGATAAATAATAATGGTGTAATATTTTTTTTAATTCATACAATATAACTACTAATATAACAATAAAATAAATGTTCTTACTATATGATGACAATTCATACATCTTTGGATTAGTACTCATTTTTTGTAATAGGATTTTCCACAATTCTAGCGTCTCCATAATGTTTTTAAAAACAGATGCATGTTGATTGGATAGTATGCATTTTAATAATACCAATATTTGTGTTGCCTAAATTGAAAAATAATATTATTAATAATTAATAGTTGTTTAGTTATTTGATGTTTACAGATTAGATTTAAAAAACGAGGAAAACAAATATTGTGTGATTGAAAATATTTATTTTTTTTTATTTGAAATATGTATTAGTAAATATGTTACCATTAAATAGTCATCCCGAATTGTAAGATAAATCCGTTCAGTTTCAGTCACAGATTGTCCAAACCCCATCATTCGATTACAAGTATCTAACACACCTAAATCAACTTTTTCCATGTAATGTTTGTAATATAACCACATGTGTAAGTAAATTTGCTGTATTTCAGATCGCAGTTCAGTTGAATGTTCAGTAATTAAACATAATTTCCATTTTGAATCTTTTGTAGGCACTTTCATTATCCTAAAATAGTTACATATTTTTTTTTAAATATAGATTTATGAAAAAACAATATTAGAAAAATATATAGCACCTATTTAATTATTGGTACAACAAAAGTAGAATATAGATTGCTTATTTAAGCATTTTAACTTAACAATTAATAACAAAATAAATTTAAGATAAATTAATAAAAATAATATACTTACTCAAAACATATTTTGTAAAATGGTAAAATCTCTGATGAACATTTGTTTAATGTTGATTTCTTAAGTGAAAGTTCTTGAGTTGAATCTGGTTTTTTATGAATAACTTTTGGGGAGAGCTTTAAAATAACAGATTCTTATCAAATTATTTATTTTTTAAGATGTAATGTTTCTTTTAATTTATAAAAATAAGACTGGTTTTTAAAAATGGCATATAGATATTAAATTACACAAAAAAGAAACTGTTTAATTAATAATACATCATAGATATCTTTAACAGTAACATAGATGAATAATTATCATACTGAACTACTATTTTTACTAAATAATACTAGTTATGTAATAACATGTCATATGAATTAGAGATAATTAATTTTGAAATTACGAAATAAACATAATCTAGTGAAGTAGTGTTTTATTAGATAAATAAGAAATTATTCAAAGGTATAGTGTTTTAAATTACTCAGAAAACACAAAAAGGTTACAATTTTATTATTTATAAATTTCTTGATACATTTAGATATTTTCCAATGGAGATTTTATACCTCTTTTTTAGGTATAAAATTAATATATAATTTTGAGTTTTGAAATATATTTGTCATAAAAATAAGTTGTAATATTAACGAATAAAAAAGAAAGATAAATTCCTTGTAATTCTTAGAAAACTAAGTGTTTTTATTTAGAAAAATCTTTTTCTAGGTTTTTTTATAACCTAAGTCATTTAATTATTGTATAATACTTTTTATTGTATTGTTTGAATGATCATTCTCAACATTCATTATAAAGTAATAATGTCATCTTAAATTAAATGTTTAAGTAATAAAAATAAAATATGAAATGTCCTACTTGCCAAAAATAACCAATACATTTAAATAAAAAAAATATTTGTAATTTATACAAGATGAATTTTTTTTTAACATATAATTAATTAAACATAAAGTTTGACATAAAATAAAATAAATTTACCAGATTTTTTTGTTCATCTAAGATATTACTTAGTACAATAGTTTCATTGCTCATCATCATTAATTGTTCATAGTAAGATATTTGCTCTTCATTAGGTAGCTCAAATTCAGGAACTAGAAAATAATTATCCATCAATAACTAATTTTAGATCATAAAATAAATATTATCTTAATAATATATATATAATCATTTTAAAATTAAATTAAGTAAATTATGTTTTTAAACACAATTTATTTTAACATACATTTAGAATAATTGTATCAATTTTAATAGAGAAGTATAATATACATTTCTAAGATAAAAAATCATTGAGGAATAATTACTAAATGTTGCTTTAAAAGGATTCAATACTGACCAATTCTATCTACTTAACACATTTGGGATAAAAAAATTTATGTTAAATCTACTTGAGATTGATTCAACCATATTTTTTATTTTATCACCTTGAGTACAAAATCAGTTATACTTCAATTTTTGAGTAAATTATAATTACAAAATCAAAAATATAATCAATTTTAATTCAAATCTGTTTTTAGATTTCTTATCGCTTCACTAGATTAATTTGTTGGTATATTTGGTAAAAAATTTACATCTAAATTTCTATGTTACGCATGTGTTAGCTAAAGATAAAAACGGTTGGTATTAAATCTTTCTTTTGATATGAAACTATTCATACAGTATTTCCAATCAAAATATACTTTTTCAATGTATAAAATTAGTTATAAATAATATGAAAGACTTTGTATTATTTAGATACATTAATTTAGAGGTTTCATTATTGTAGTTTTTTTTTTTTTAAGTGTTAATAATATTAATTTTTAACAAGGTACTATTATATATTTATAAATTGTATATACATCTGGAATACTATTATGTAGACTTCTTAAAAAATATATAAATAATACAAATGGCTGGTTCATAATTTCTTAGACATAAATAATTTTAGTAACTTACCATTTATAGGGTAGCTAATGTTAAGAACATTTCTTCTGGGCTCATACATTTCTGATTGCATGTATAAGTAAGGATTTTTATCACTACGCAATTCAACTCCTCTAGATATTAAGTACATAAAATAATTGAATTAAAAATTAAGTAATAAATTAAAGGTTATTAACACACAACACTTTACCCTAAAATAAGGTAACAATTGATATTTTGCATATGTTTTAAAAGTAATTGGCGCTATTGTTACTAAAATATACCATATATATTTAAATATAACTTTTATTTTTTAAAACATTATTCATATCCTCATTAAATTGTATTCCTCTTAAAAGACTTCAACCTCCATCTATACAATAATTTTCATAAAATTGAGTTTTCAAATTAAATAATATTTATTTCTTCATCAATGTTTTGTATTATAAGAAGATTATATTATTTTATAAATATATGATTGAATTTATGTAGAATATATTTATATAGGCATACAGAGGTATGTGCTGGAATATTATAACTTTTAGCTGTTTTACTTTTTGTATATAAATAAAATAATTTTTTATTAGATAAATGTAACATATTAATGTTATTATTTACAAGTTACAAATTATTGTTTAAATTATTTAATGCAGCAAATCTTATATAGTATAGAACTAGAAATAGTTTATGGTGGCCGCTATGTTTACACATTTCAGTGATGTTATAAAACTTGAAGAAAATACCTACTTAAAAATGTTTATTTTTATTTAGAAAAGCATTGAAAAATAAAAAATTTACTAATGATAATAAATAAATGCATTAGGTAATTAATATTTTTAATATTTACTCGATATCATATAGCAATGTCATAAATAGGGTCAGAATATAAATCTGAACATTTCATCTAAAACATACCTAACAGTTCTCAATGAAGTTTTTAACACGTTTTGTTGTTGAATAGGTAGGCACGTAAGAAATAGGTAGTACTTTATTAAATACTAAAGAAAGTATAACAACATAAATAGGTAAATACCGTGAGTAAGCATAGGCTGGTAGTCCTTCTCTTAAATTTTTCTTCCGTCCATCCCTGTCGAATACTTTGTAATTTGCATTCATTTTCTATAATTCCGTAAGCACAAAATCGCATATAGTGTCAATTAATTCGGAACACAAACAATGTGCTAACAATTAACGAATCACTTATAAAAACAAAATAGGTGTACCGTTGACGACGTAGAGGTATGCACTTACTGCCTTGCAGGGCGAAGGATCAGTGTAAAGTGTAAACGATATAAAAGCGATATCTACACACAAACTAACGGAATATTCTAAAACGTAATACGTAGTGACGTCATATTGTCATAATATATTATTCTGAAATTCTGAATAATCGTACTGTAACCGAATTACCAAAGGACAAAACGAGGTTCGTCAAAATCATAGAAACTTCATGGTAATTTATTATTATTGGACATCACCGGGAAAACGGACCAAGACGACGGTAGGTAAGCCTTAAGACAGCTGCTGGACTCCGATTACTTGGTATTAGGTAGTAGGTACTCGAAAGTTATCTGAGAACTGGACAGTGGACACTGGAGTCGCGGAAGTCGATAATTCGAAAACAAATCAACTGTGAACGATGTTTACTGGATATGACGTATATTATGTATCATGGATGTGGCTTTGCAAGTATTAAATAATATTAATCATTAGTAGTGTATACGTGTTATCAAGTTAAAATCTGCGTTTAACGCTTACTACAAAAATAGCTACACATTAATGACTAATGTACTTAGTATCTAGTTCTAGTACTTATCTAGTATCTACTAATACCTGGATTTGAGAAGTACCTAGTCGAGTTGAATCTACCGATCGGCCATTACCATTAAGGCATTAACATTTAGGCTAGGATCACACTATGCGTTTTGTCGGCAACCGAAAAATACTATCCCGATTAACCGCAATCGGGACGATCGATCATACTGTGCGTTTTATCGGTAACCGAATACATACAAATGAGATTAAAAAGCCCGAAAATCGTTTTTAATTTAAATTTAAATTTTAAACTGATTTTTTATTTAAACGAAATGTATCTAGTATTATAAGTAAAAAAATAATAAAAAGGTTGTGTAATTAGAATTATTTGTTTTTATTTAAAACGTGTATCAACTAATTATGCTAATAAATAATAATATACATCTATAATATAAATAAAATATAATATATATATTACAAATATATTTTAAGTTATTAAATTATTTAAATTTAAAAATGATTATTAATTATTCATAAAATTTTCAATTTCGGTTACCGATAATCCGCACAAATGTGATCGGACAAATTGCATTGCATGTGTTGTGCTTTACATCCCGAAACGCAACCGGACGGTTGGACCGCAACACGTTGCGGTCGCTTCCCGACGGTTTTTAATCGGTTCCGTAAATCGGTCTAGTCTGGCCCTGATAACGCGTTTTATATTTAAACCTATTTTATTTTAGAGTGTTGCGGTTTGGCTCCGGTTGATCGGGAACCGACAAAACGCATAGTGTGATCCTAGCCTTAACATCAGAAGCTCCTATAAAACGTATAGGTAATTATACGTTATTAAGTATCGACTTTTTGCCGTTTCTTATAAGTCGAATGATCAGTTTTACCAATTGATTTCTAAGATACACGAAATTCTTACAATTTAATTTGAAATTTGGACGATAAATATGATATTGATATTATTAGTTATATTATTATCCGTAATTTCGTCCACAAATACTTTCTACCGAGTACCAACTGTGTAGAATATATTATGTAGAATTGTAGAAAAAAATTTTCATAGATCTAAAAAATTTATGTCTTCGGAATCGGCCGTTATACTTACTACTATGTAATTAATAATTTATACATAAAAATTGCGTGTTTTCGTGGTCTTTTACATGGTTTCAAATGGCCAAGTTCTAAGTTTTTAACCGTTGCTGTTAATAAATTAGGTACTAACTAAAAAAATTACGAACTAAAATCGACAATATTTTGTTAATATTATGAATTATGATTCATAAGACGAACGATGAACTATAAGTATAAACCGCGCACCACGGTAGTTAAAAAATACAATTTAGAGAACTCGTCGCAACATGCAAATGTGCGCAGTATTTCCTCGAAATGGGTGAGATCGATTTCATTTCATTGGATTTTGGGATCTTTTTAGATCGTGGTACACGAGTTTTTAGCATTTTTAATGTGTCTATATTTTATTTTTCTTATCTAAATGTGAAACACCGATAAATTCTTCATTTATCTATTAAATAACATTTTTACCACAACTAAATAAATTTTACTTTTTTATATTAGTAAAACAAAATTTAAAATTTAATAGTTATAAAGTACTCCTTATTTAATGTTAATAGTACAACATTTTATCTTTTATTTGGTTATTAGAATAAATGGATAATAACATTGCCCATAAACTTATTAAAAATTATAAAGTGAATAATGAATATAGTTATAATTTAAAAAAAGTTTATAAAAAAGATATATTTTAAAAAAATTTTCATGAAAGTGGAACAAAAACGAGACAAATCTAAAACACGGAACAACGCTCATTATTTACTAACGTGGGACGTCTGGTTATATTAAACATGTTCTATAAAGTATAAGTTTATAACTAGGGCCCGCAATTTGATAACCTAAAAATCTTTAAAAATGCACACAAAAAAGTATTAAAATGACTTAAAAAATTACTCTAAAAATACCAAAAAATAACATAACATTTTCAAAAATTCATTAAACATGTTTTTTTTTTTTACTGACTTAAGATCCTAAATTAAATTTAAAACAGAGTTAAAAAATAATGTCAATAATATAAAATAATTACAAAAAATAAATTTGTATTTTTAGAAAAATAATTAAAGAATTAAGCTGTAAAATACAAATATATCTACAAAAATGCAAAAAAAAGCATTAAAATCAGTAAAAAATGACCATATGGTTATACCAAAAATTATCGAAAAAAAAAATAAATAGTTTCATTAAATTTTGCATGAAATAAGACACATTTTTGTAAAGACGAGCGTTATATAAACGCATTAGAAAAAAAGAAGCAATTGTATCAAGTTCCGGGTTTTATTTTTAACACAAATTTATTATTTTTTTATTGATATTTATTCCTAATTCCTGTATGTTAAATGTACATTAAATTGATTTGTTAAATTTTAAAATTACATTAATTATTAATAAACAACATGTAAAGTATACTAGAATAAATTGTTTCGTAAAACTTTACCGCAACATTTGATTTGAGAATTAATATTTACTTAAAGCAGGATAAAATGTCTTTAGTGTACTATTGTCTATTTCTGAAAGTAAAAATGATAAGCAAGTTGTTTACTACACGTCTTGTGCCGAATTCTAATTTACCAAGCAGTAAGCAGATTCATTTAAATCATTAAATGTTTTGTGATTCAGTTAAAAAAAAATTAAAAAATACTGTTTTATTTATAAAAACTTGTGTGAAAATTTAAAAAGTTGTACTTTTAATAGATATATTTCAACATTTTATTAGATAAATTGAGATAAATCAGTTTAATAACTTCTTAAAACAAAATTTTAAAAACTAATCATCTTTTTGAATAATATCATGTCACTGTTAAGAGTACTGGTATCTAATATCCACTAAACTACATCAACTTAGGTCAACATGATGTTGTTTTTAATATTAGGCATGATAATACAATAAAAATAAACTCAGTTTTTCAAAATAAAACATTTTATTTTAATTAATTGACATATAAAATACCTATTTACATTTTGTTTGATGTTATTTTCTCACTCAATACAAAATTATACATTTTTAAATTAAATTAAAATAGCAGTCAGTCAAATGGTTCAAAATTATATTGAAATTGAACTGATTTTCAAACAAAAATTAATTTATTCAAAATAACATCCATTAAGCAATAGCAGCAAATATATCTTGATTAAAATTTTTGTCTTGACAATCAAAAATTTTTTTGTTTGTAATGTTCCTCTCCATACACATCCAAGTTTGTTTATCAATCTGTTTCCAAAATTTTACAGCATAATTGTTCATTGTAACAGACAACACAGTTCCAAAACGAGAAAAACTAACTTTTTGTTTTTGTTTGTTTTCAGAGTCAATCTCTGTTTGTACCCAATCACAACAATCATCACTTCCCCATATAAACACTCGACCATTTGACGCACAGCTAGCAAATGTATATTTGTACAGACCAGAAGTTGGATTCCAACTTATGTCTTTGATAGTATTTAATTGATTGTCTGATTCATACATAATGTTCCACATACCTAATTGACCTTTCCATATTTTGATCTTATTATCATTTCCTCCACTAACTAATAGCAAATGATTATTTAACAATTGATTTGACCAACTGATACAATTAACACCATTTAAATGAGCATTAGGGATCTTTGATACTGACCATTCATTAATATTTAGAGTATGTATTGAAATAGTACCATCCGCACTTGAACAAGCTATGATTGCTCCAGATTTATACGGCGCCCAATCTATAGAAGTTGTTGATGATTTATGTCCTTCATATTGATAAACAATTTTCCACTCGCCATTATCATTAGTTTTACGTACAATTAATTTACAATCTGATCCACATGAAGCTAAAAAACCAAATTTTGGATGTGAAAACATAACTTGCCATACAGGACCAACATGTTCTTGTAATTGTATTGTTGAATACATGTCTGGTTTGTCACTCTCATAAATTTGAATAACACCATCAGCAGAACTAGTACACACATATTTATTATAATAATCAATGTCTGATGAAATAATTTGCCTCTTGTTATGGGTTTCAAATGAACTAACTACTGACAGCATGTTTCTGGTGAAGTGGCAATTAACACGACCAATATCAATTCATGAACTACATACAAGTCAGTAATTACTAAGTACAAGAGAGCAGATAGTAATGAGTAATCACTAAATAACACAAGACAATAAAAGAGTAAAACTAAAGCTAGACTAAGACAGTAAGATAGTATCACAATTCACAGGAATAAAGGTAAAAGTGTAAAACAATGCGATGTACAGAGTTCCAACGGTTACTCGAACTTCGAAGTCTGAGGATTGTTATCGGTTGTTATCAAAATCGGGAAATCTGTACCCATCTCCATAATAGAGCGCCTGGCGGGGCGTCCAAATAAAAATTAGGTAACTGAGTGGCCGGTCACACTGTGTGGAGTCGGGCGCCTATTTTGAATTTAGTACATTTGTTAAGAAAACTTCTATGAAAAAATAGAGCAATAGAGCGTAAATACTAAATGCGTAATCATTTAAGATATACTTAAACCGTGCTAATAAGACAGATATTTCCTTATGTACAATGACTTGTTTATTCAATACATTAAAATTTTTAATCGGGAAATTTAGTGTAAAAAACGAAATACTACTTTCAACCAAAGTAATGTTATAAGACAAATATTTCAAGACCTAACATACCACAAGTTTCAATATTACAATATGATACTATATACCATCACTGTTAAATCCATGACACCTAAAACTGTTATAAGAATTTGCATGGGTGTACAGTTACAGGTATGATTATAACTTTTGTAGCTGGAAATTTTATGAATAAGATAAATAGTAAATAGAAACAAAGTATCAATGAAAAAATGAAATCTGTTATAATTAGTTTTTCTACATTGAAAGAATAGGATGCTATTAAGTTTTTAAGAGATCATAATGACATAAAATCAGTTCAGAAACAGTAAACTCAAATTCTCAAGCTACAAAAATATAGGTAAATGTTAAAATTTCTATTAATATCTTAAGTATTAACATTTTTTTAAATGATTCAAAAATGAATCTGAAACAGTTTTTATACAAATACAACAGAAAATCATTGTAGTTTTCTTTTTGGTAACTCTATGAAAATTTTCTACATCCTTTCAATTCATTATTCATGATTAATTTGCCAAAACTCAGAAGTATAAGTGTTTTAAAGTAAAGAACTATATATTCAAGTCCAATCATATAAATAAAAATATGTTCATATATTAGAATGTACCTAATATATATTAACATGTAACCTAACCTATGAATGTGTTTGATATTGATATATATTTTTGAAATTATTGATAAATCTCAATTTGTTTTGAAATAATTTAAAATGATAATATTTAATCAAGTATACAAATCTTTTATTTTACTTGTATATTAAAATTAAAATTACCATAATCCTTTTAAAAATTCAAAATTAATTTTGACAAATTTTTGAATTTTTGTTGATAATATAAAATTAAAGCTGTATGGTGTGCAATATTTAAATAAAAACCTCTTTTGACCCCTATCACTTGTATACAAGGGTGAGCATGTATTGTTGTATAGAAAAGTTTTTGATTAACCTTAAAAGTTTAGGTAAAAATTTAAGGTTAATTTAATTTATTTTCTAAAAGGATGTTGTGCCATCTACCAATGAATAATTTTTTTATAAATTTGATCAATATTTTAAGCAACTCGGCAAAAATTTCATATAATTATGATTATTTATGGTATAGTAATACATTAATGTTATACTAAAATAAACCATAACAATTTTTTTTTATTATTTTAACAAAAATGTATTTTAATAGAAATCTAATTTTGCATAAAGTAGGTACAAACTTTAATTTCTAAACAATCAAATATTTTAATTGATGCTGTAGTATTTTGGAATATGATTATATTTTTTAAGTATTAACATACATTATCATTTATCTTACATAGTAGAAAATATAATTAATACATAATTTTTATCGAAAGTAAATATCCACTTTACTTTTAACTAAATGGATTTGAGGTAATACATATTTTTTACAAGGGCATTTCATTCCACCAACAAAGTCAAAAGAACCAACTCTCAAATTGCAATTTGGACAACTCAGTTTTCCTTTTTGCCAATCTTCCTGAAATAAATAACACTTGTTTTAGTAAAAATTTATTTTGGTAAGTGGTGTGACTGTCCAAATATAATTATAATGAGTAATAATACTATTAATGATTAAAATTAAAGAAGGGTTTTTAGAAGGATTTTAATCAGAAATTAAGAAATTTAAATTTGATAATAAGGTATAGGTAATACCTTCTAAAGCAATATTTTGTTATAGTTCTATTGAATAAAAGAGCAGGATAAGTAATAAGGAGGAGAGGAGTTCCATATATTTTCTTTGAAAATGAGATAAAAATTGTAAAAATAATTAACATTAACAAATTGACTTCTCTGCACAAGTGTCTGATTTCTACAACAAAACAAATAATCGTATGGATATACAATGAATAGTAATTTAATAATTTATTTATTAAATTTTATTATGTAAAATTAATTTATTTTGATATACTTACTTCTTCAATTGATGAATTTATCCATTCAGGCAAATTAGTAGATGATAAGTACCAATTGTTCTCCATTACATTATCATTACAACTGTATGTAACTCTAGCTGTATTTTGAATTTGCTTTTCATGACAATCAAGTATAGATGAACTCTCACTTGATGCTAATTCAAATCGACATTTCTGACATTTAATACTAATATTGGTCATTTTAACTCAAATACAACAAATAAATTAAGATAAAATATTATTCAACTATAAAATTAATAATTTTTTTTTTAATGCGTGATTGTTTATGAATTCTTATTTAAATTGTTCAAACATTTTTATATAATTTAAAATTTGTAAAATGTGACAATTTAATAACAAATGTTATGAAATCTGATAACAGACAACAGTATCATAAAATTGATAAAGTGATACGGTATCGTTATCGTTATCTTATTGTTACCGCAGTGGTAACTATAACGGTTTTGTAATTAAACCTTGGTTTATTTTGTCAAAAGTTCATGGTTGGCATAATATAATGGGTATCATTAAAGTATTATACTTCTATCAAATATTATACATTCCATTCTACTATTTTAGAGTAATTAGTGACTAGTGTTTATAATGTTTATAGTGTTTATACTGAATAGTGAATACCTCTTTAATAGTCTAATGTTTTATCTAAAAAAAATTAAAGTAATTTAATCTCGATTTATTTTATTTATTTAGTAAGTTATTAGCTACCAAATATCTTTTTTATTGAAAAGTGTTCTGTTTTGTTCGTGACGTGACAGTTATAGTTAACATTAAACCGAGCTAAGGTAAAAATCAGGGCGTTAAAATCTTCGAGGATGTAAGTTAATTGTTTGCAATGCATCCTGTACGAAGACGTAAGAAACGACCCAACTATGGTGTACGTATGGTTGAAGTAAATAGAGGCAAAAATGGATTTGGATTTACTATATCTGGGCAGCAGCCATGCATACTTAGTTGTATTGTTCCTGGTAGTCCTGCCGACCAGGCTGGTCTCAGAGCAGGCGATTATTTGGTAGCTGTAAGCAACCATAATGTCAGTAAATTATTACATGATGATGTAGTGCAATTAATTGGTGGATGTCAATCTGCTTTGCGACTACAAATAGCTGAGAATTATTACTCTGATAGCTCTGATGAAGAATTTAAAAATGAATTAGGAAGACAACGACCAAAATATCCACATAAATCGAGGCCAGCCTTAACTCCCATCAATGTAAATAAAATGAGAAATGATGATACGGATTATGGAATTGAATTTGCTCATGTACAAAAACCTTGCAATCGTAATAATAATAATTGTTCAACATATGATAAAGAGGCAGTCGCAATTTATAATTTTCAAATAGTCGTGAGATATTTAGGTTCAATTGAAATGCCATGTATACCTGCTGGGTCTCGGCTACAAGTTAGTAATTTTAAATCAACTAATTATTTCTTTTTAAGTTCAGGTATTATTTACTAATTATAATTCATAATTTGAATGATAATAATTTTGTTTTATGATTTCTTCTAATTTATTTTCTAATATTGAACTGAGCAAAATTAATTTTGAGTATAGGTAGGTAAATAATATAAAATAATTTATACTTTTATTTGTTCATTAATAATGTTTTTTCAAATAATATATTTAAAAAATAATAAAAATAATTTGGATTAACATTAAATTAGTAATTTTTATAATTTTGCATGTATGTTTATTTGTTAATTCATTAAAAGTAGCTTTGATTATCTCCATTTTATACGATATACAAAAAAAAAAAAAGAACATACTTATGTAACTTATAGATAACATAGACATCCGTTACACTTATTACTCCAACTTATATACTTATATTTTATATTTAATTATTAAACATCTGTTTTAGATAAAATTGTAGATAATAAAAATGTTTTAATTTATTTTAAATTAGGTCGTAAAAAGCTGTATTAAGCGTTTAAAAGCTGAAAAACGTTCTCATGCTGCTGTGCTGATGACAGGATATGAAACCAGTCTTTGTCTACAGAATAATGCTGGAGTAACTTTAGCTGTTTATCCAGGTAGTCGTGTCATGTTTTGTGCTGCCAGTTCCGATGAAAATAGCAAATACTTTGGTGTTGTTACTATATCATCTATAGATGATGAGCCATCAAACTCGTGTCATGTGTTTGCTATAGATCCAGTATCACATGAGGACCATTGTGCACAAGCTAATAGTTTTAAAATCACTTGTATCAGAGATTCCAATGGTGTATGTGCTCAATTTCCTCCAAACTGTGATCAAGTTGTAGTTGCTATTGAAAAGTATTATAAAAACGATGCTAATCGTATTTCGGTTGTTGGCAATTCACCACATCCAAGTCATGATAGCACGACAACAACAACCAGCAACAGTGATTCAGGTATTGGATATAAGGATTACTGTGGTATGCAGACAGATAGAATATTAATGGTTGATGTACAGAATCAATGTTTACACATACAACAAGTATTTATTATTTATTTATATAGCCTGAATAAATTATAATCATAATATTGCTTTTTTAAGGTTGGTGAAATGGCTACGCATTGCGTTGATTGTTCAGATTCAATTACTCCTAAGGATACTGTAGTTGAACGTGGACCTAGAAGTCGTTCACCATTAAGTACTAGCTCAGTTGATCTGGTATTCAGTCAGTTAGGACCTGATTATATAAACCTAAGTAGATCGCCTGGGCCTCGTAGATCAAAAAGTGAGAGTAGTGTACAACATGAAAATAATTCATGTGAGGGAATGAGTTTAGGAAGCAGTTATCGAAGTCAAGAAATTTTATTATCAGATGTCAAAACAAAATCAAATACAGAATTTGACTGTTTAAGATATCCTCTTGTTACTCAAAGCTTAGAAAATTTTAAAACTAATGATGAAGATTGTATTGTTAACATTTGGGGGAGCTTACAAAATATTAAAGAAGGAACTGAAGATTTTACTCCAGAAACTGATGGATTTTATGTAAGTAAATCTTTTATTTATTTAGTAAGACTTATAATTTATTATACTTAATAGTTATATAAGTATAGATATTTAAATTTGAAGAGAAAAGTATTTTGATGTTTTGTGTTAAATAATTTATGTTATTTTAAACGCTAATGACCTTGGCAATTGAAGTATAGCATGTATATATACTAATGGCTTATACAATTTTAGCATATTTAAGATTACAGACATGTTGGGTTATTATTAATTTCATAATTTTTGTATAATATTATCATAAATGTCAAAATGGTGATAACATTATTTTATTATTATGGATTGTAAAATTTATCTTAATATATCAACAATAATTTTGTTTTAATTATTGTTACAAAAAAAAAAAATTCTGTTTGTATACATAAAAAAGTATTAATACATTAATTTACTACAATTATAAAAATTAATTTACTTAAAGCGTATTAATTTTTGTTTGAAAAATTAATTAATTAAGTTTATGTGGCTTATTTTGTTGAACATTGAAAATATGAAGTAAACATACATTTTATGCTACACTTATTACTTGGATTAAATGATAGTTAATCATTTATCAACCATGAAACTTATTATTATAAAGATTTTCTAATTCCCATAACATTTTACATGTTTTTAAGTTGAGTTCATTAGTATTCATAATGTGTAATTCTAATTAAAATTTTAAATGTGGTGATAGGTAGGTTACTATATGCTATGACGTCAATATCCGTGACATGTGTCTGTCATACATAATTGAAAAATCATAGTATTATTTGAGTTTATGGGTATGTGAAAATATTAAGCTTAGTGTAGTGTTAAAGTATTATATTCATAGAAGAAGTAGGTATTTCTTTAAATATTTTTAATACATTTTTTTTTTTTTATTTACAAAGGACATGCTTCCTTTTCGTAAAATCAGTTGTATTACATTTTCCAATAGTCCTTTTGTGCGTGTTCTTAGGCGAACAAATTCTTTTGAAAACAAAACCACGGTATATATTATAAAATTTGTATCATATTTAATTCTTAATATATTTTTGATGGTTATATTTATATGAATTGTGGTAATGTATACTTAGATGACACACCAATTAAATGTTATCAATTTGTAACAATTTTTACTAGAATTTAATCATTTCATAATGAGTCATTGTAGATTATTAGTAATAATTATGTCATATTCATATTTTTAGTAATTTAAAGTTGAATATTATATAGTTTGATTTTATATATACAATTAAAAAATATTGATATAATATAAATATTTTTCATTACAAATGTACTCTAGAATATTATTAAATGTATTTATCTGAACCATTATTTTCCAATATGTTACTGAACGTCCTATTTTAAATTTTTAAAAATTTTTATTGCCATCAATTATGAAAATTTTTTTTTTGTTTTATCAAAAATGGATCTAATATGATGTAAAATGTAATTAGTTCTATTGTTATACATCATACTTAAATTTGCCTACTGTTTAGTAACTATATAAATATATTACATATTAATAAATTATGTATGCTAAATTTTGTATTTTAAAATTAAATTAAATTATTAATGGTTATTTAATTATATACATTTATACAACATTACTTTATTAGTTATCAACTATATACATAATATAAGCAATAGAAGAATTGCTCCACAAAAATAAAAATGCCCCCCTAAGACATGAATACATTTTCTAAGTTAGAATTACTAATATAAACTAATGGTATACAAAATGGTTTATAATAGACTTACTTAACACTGATATATTTTTTAATATCTGCTTTTAAAGAACATAAATTGAAATTTAATATGATAATTCTATCTTGTTTTTGTAAATTATATTAATTTTTAATATTTTTTTTGTATTTAAGAATAATTCAAAAACCAGTCAAGCTCAAGATTGGACATTATCATTTGAGAGAGTTTTACAAGATCCTATAACTTCACAAAACTTCGCAGTAAGTTACATTATTTGCATATTTATTAATTCTAATGATATTTTAAATTTTAAATTGTTTAGTTTTCTTTGAATATTCAGTTCAGTTTGGTTTAAAAACTATCCAAACATTTTGGTTTATCAAATTAAACCAAATTTTTAATCTTGATAAAAAGTAATTGACTAAAAAATATGTAAAAGTAGGGATTATATTAAAATTTTTATTTTTATTTTTCTTTATAATTTTAACAATATGTGATATATGGTTTTTAAATTTATAATTTGTTTATATCATACATTTCAAAGATTTTATAGCAAAATATGATATTTTAATATCCCAATA